TTATCTCGAGTGATCGTGAGACGGTAATATCATATAAATCTTCAAACCTAGAGATAGAGTTGTTGACTATGAGTTGGTTATTCATTGATTGTACGAAAACGCATTGGTAACTCGATGTTATAAAACGTGCCTTTGTGAATAATTCAACAAGTAGTTAGTACAAGCATCAGTCGAAGTTTATCTGTGTCCTTCTAGAAATAGAAGCGATATCTGGGCCCCTCGATGATTTGGTTTGACCTATGTACCGGGCCCGGTCAGAACCTAATTGATGTGTTCAATTTAGTTCTATGTCGAAACAAATCAAGATCGAGAGAAACAAATGCTGGACAATAAGTAAGACCATGTTCCATGTTGTTTGTCCGCTGATATCATGAGAACAGAGGATTATATGATCACTTATCTTAAATGGCATCATCATCATCTCAGTTCCGAGAGACTTTGAAAGAGCTACGATTGCTAGTCGGATTTTGAAGTCATATTTGCAATATTAGTTATAGACTTATCCAAGTGGGAGACTGTTGGATATAGTGTCTAGTCCATAACTTTATTTGGTATGTACTTGACCCGACCCGGCATGGTCCATTTGTGGTTTGCATGGCATTGGCAATACTTGGATAGACTAATGAGAGAATAAGCACTTATGATTATTAATATATGATAAGTTCTAATATAATATAATAGTATTATTTAATGAGTATTGATCAAGTATTAATCTAGTATTAATCTAGTGATCAAAGTGAGACTAATTAAAATATATAGGGTTGATTATGAACATCATCAATTCTTTTATGGTGGATTAATGAGCCATGGTTTATGGGTTTGGTTATAACCATAGGGAGCTCCATGGATATCTAGGGGAGTTACAAACCCATGGGTCATGGGAAATCAAGAGTCATGGCAATTAAGGGTCTTCATGAGTAAACCTACTATGTGACAACACTGTAAAGGACCCTATGGCTAGCAAAATGGTGAGCTAGTGGACCTAGTGTTACTAGAAGGCATAACCGATTTTGAGTGCTAGAGGTATCTCTCAAGTTATTCCAAGTTTTGTGGTGTTGTGTGAAGCATTTGAGGCACAACATTTGGGGTGCTAGGCTCACAAAGTCTTGAAGGAATCCAAGCAACAAAAGGTATGTATTTCTAACTAGCTTTAATGTTTTTATGTAATCCCCATGCCATGCTAGTTAGAAATAACCTTGAAATAACCTTGAAAAAAGAAATTGCATGTATATAGAGAAAACATAGATTCAAGGTTATTAGGGTTGCATGTACACTTAGGAAGTGTTAGAATGCTCAAAACCCATCAAGCTTCTACTACAGTCCCTACAGGGTGCAAAGCGACGATGATGATGATGCCCATGTCACCAAGCGTCATCTCAAGGAGCTGATGAGAAGCTAGATAAGCTGATGGCCCCTCCTCTACTCAGGATTCCTCTTCTGAGTCTGCTATAAAAGGCTTGATGGCCACCTGGGTCAAGGAACACGAATCTTCCATCTCCAAAGCCACTTCCGCTATTGATGCTTCAACAAAAGTCTGCACGGAGGCGACCGAAAAAGTCGATAAACTAATTTCTAACGCAAACATTTTCCTTGAATCTTTGCAGGGAACTGCAGAGCAGAATGCTAACAAGGTCAATGCCTCGGTTCAGACCCTCACTCAATCTCTTCAACAGGAGAAAGAGCTATTTGAGGTGCTTTGCAAGAACCTCACCTCTGATCACATCAAACATCAAGCTTCTGTCAATGAACGTTTAAATCAACTTCAGGCAGATCTTGCCTTGGAAAACAGAGTGATGGATGAACTTGCTCTGAGGACCACTCAACTCAAAACCCAGACTGTCAAGCTTAATCAAGCGAACAAGGAACTTGAAGCACTACGTTCGGAGCGGTCTGTGGTTAAAAGCTTTGTTGGTAATGTTCACTCTATTCTCCTTCATCTTCTTGAAGCCTATGATTTCGTTCTTACCATCACGGTTCGACGTCATTTGGCTGAGAAGTTACGGCCTGCTCTGGATATTCTAAGCCGGATAGAGGGTGTTCCGGAGTCCGTTGTCTCTCCGCAACAAGGGGGAGAAGGGACGAAGTCTTCATCTCAACCACCGAAACCACAACAACCAAAGGTAGTTACTGAACCGAAGGGGAAAGAAGCTTCAGGTTCGGGTATGCAGGATAGGGGAAAAGGAGTTGTTGATGATATTGATGATGAGGATGATGTTGATATTGAAGAAACGGTTCCTAAGCCAAGTTCTCTCAAAGCTAAGCCTACTGCTTAGGAGATTAAGGAAAAAGTCACTGATGCCATTAATAAGGAGAATGAGAAGAGAGAAGTGAATCTGCTTAACCAGAGGAAATCGATGTTTCCTCTGTGGACGTTGGAAAGGCTAAGAAAGGAGGTTATTGAAAATCCAAGTTCACATTGGTTGGAGCCCGTTCTTTCATTTAATGTCGAGAATTCTAAAGATTCTCAATTTGACATGCCAATCACTCGTAGAGCCTTCATCTTTCACTGCTTCGAGTCTGTAGTGGCGGTTCCTTCTCCTGACCCGAAGGTTGATCAAGACTTGCTTGAATATTATCATGTATTCTCTCAACCTCAGTACCTTACCTGGAGTAACAAGAAGATCACAACAATTAAGGTGCTGAAACCTACTGCAGCAGGGAAGCTCATAAACATCAAGTTCAATGTGACCCGAGGATCAGATGGTTCGGTCCATATGATTTCCCTTGCTGATCTGCCAAATCTGAATCCAGACGATTGGATTCTTCTGCACAACATCCTTTTCTCAAATCAGAAAGAATATGAGCCCATCATTGATCACATCAAGCGTATGCTAGTGTGTTACATTCATGAAGTGGCGAAGATGGATCAGGAGATTGCCACTGTTATACGCAAGAGGCCCTTAATCAAGCCTGTTGGGAAGGCTGATGACACTAAGTTGATGGTGAAGGGAAAAATTGATCCACAGTCTCACACCGTCATGTTTTTTAGAGGCGAAGGTCAAAGATGCTTATTTGCTCTGGCTGACAAACATTTATTCTCCAATTCCTGTTTGGAGCATATTCTTGAGCTTATCCATGGGTGTGATCAAAATAGTGAAGCAGACAAGAAGCTGTTCTCAGATATGCTTCGGTGGTATATGGCTTTCAGACAAACCCTTCTTGCCATCATTCCAAAATTGTTCAAGGTTGTGAAGCGAACTCCTCAACCTCCACCGAAGTGAAGTCTCGCCCCATTTGACGCAAAGGGGGAGATTGTTGGGTCTAGTAGTGTTGCGTCCTTGGGCTCGGTCCTTAGCCCAGTTTTGTTATCCGGTTTGGGCCTGTCCAACCGTATTTGTTTTATTAGGGTTTAGTATTTAAGGTGCATGCATGCATCCTTTATGAAAAGCGCTTTAATTATTATTCTGATCATTGTACTAGAAACCCTAGCTCGCCTCTACAGTGGAAGTTCTTAATCGAGCTCTGCTGAGGCGTGACTACATTTGAATCATTAAGCATTACTTGATTCTATATCGTGTTTATTGTGTTTGTTTGCTTTTATTTTTTAGCATGTTGAAGATCTAATCGATCTAAGAGTTTTTCAACTCATCACGGTGTTACAAACGTAACCTAAAAAGTGGATTTTATGCATCCAAAAGTCACACGTCACACGCGTATTTTGCATAAAGTTTATTGTACTTCCCTAAAATGATTTCCCGTGTTCCTCCTCACTATTGGAGTGTATAACACACCATCTTTTATACCTTTTAAAATAATCAAAAAGTGAAAATGGTATGAATTATATATATATATATATATATATAATATATATATATATATATATATATATATAGAGAGAGAGAGAGAGAGAGGTTTAGGTTATTGTATTCTAACTAATTATTGTATGGATGTAGGAATGATTGTGGGCCAATCATTTTACTTATTTTAAGAAAAAGATTAATACATATTGTTGAATTAAATATAATTGTAAAATACCATCTAATTTAATTACAAGGGTATTTTAGTCAACTAATATAGATTTAATAAAGAAAAATTGCATATTTTAAGGGATCATAGATTCTATTAATTTAAAAAAAAATATGATTTTACGAATTATAATTCTTTTAATTTGGACATTCTGACAGAATATGTGTATGAGTTTATTTGAAAAATAAAAATATTCTTGGACCATAAAATAATAAAAATATTCTTGAACCTATTTCTTGATCATGACTTTAAAAACTTCTTGTAGAATTACAAATTCTTGCATCATTAATTGAAGAATAAAAACAAAAATTACATTAATTCTTATAGAATATGGGTAACAATTGCTAAAAATTACATTTATTGTTAAAGAATAAAACTAAAAAAACTTTCAAATCGGGAAAAAAACATCAAAATCTAACAAAGATACTAATACATTCTAAAAGAATAATACATTCTAAAAAAATAATGTTGCTAAGAATCACTTTCAATTTTGTGGTCCGTTCTTCAAGCATCAAATTTTGTGAAAACAAATCCAATTGTAGTTTAGAATCCAATAATGCATTAGCAAATGAAAAATAAAAAACTAAATTCCTTTGGAAAAATATGCCGACTTGTGAATTGCACCAAAACCAATAACCAATAATTGTAGAACATGCATAAATCATCGAGAAAATATCGATATTCCATTTCAACAGAACTGGAATTCGTGAATCCATTCCGATAGAATTGGAATTCAAGATTCAGTTACCGTATCAGAAAGATTAAAGCCGTCTTCAAGACCAATAACATCATCTTCTCCATAACCATCATTTCCATCGACGTTGTTTAGTAAAAGTTCAATTCTTGGGTTTGGTTGTAACGAAGAAATTGAGGTCTAGGGGAAAGAAATTTCTTGTTTGGATCATATGGAGGAAGAGGGTCAGCATAAAAAGGGGCAATGATAAGTGAAGTTTGTGGAGAACAACTGAAAGGTCTAGTCTTTACCAAATCAAAATCTTCAGTAACATCAGTTGCATTATCAATCGAAACGATGGTTACCTTACGAACAAGAGGAGTTTCAAGAACAACTTTTTTTGTTCAAGGGTTATCGATTCATTTGAATCCTCTTCCGTCATGACAGGTTGATCCAACAGTGTTGCTTCAGATTTCATTACGAAATCTTTGTCCAAGAACTGGATCGAAGTTACCTCATTCTTTACACCAAGAACTTTCTTTCTTGGTGATGGAGTGAACTTTGAAGCAGCTGAGATCGTTGGTGCCATGAAACTCTTTTCATATGATCTAGCAGGTGAACGAACTATATCTTTGTGATTCTCTTTTCCATCCTGAAACATCGAGCTACCAGTGCTTTTGCGAAGTACTGAACCTCTTTTCGTATGATCTAACAACGTAAAAAAACTAAAAATCAAAAACCCACTTTACAGAACAAAAACTCAAAATCATGAAATCAAAGATTGTTTATACCTGTTGTAGCAGGGGTGTTTGTAGGGGTAGGTGGATTTACGCATCTAGGGTTTACCACAGTATTGGGTCTGGTAAAAGGGTTGCCACTGAAGCTCCTTCTAGTGGTCGTATTTGTCTCCGAAATTCTGAAACCCTTGCTGAAAGTGGGGAAGGAGATCTGTTTGATGTGAAATTCGCCATTAACGTATTTGAATCTTGTCCAATTTAGGGGAGAAGAAAAATGAGTAGAGAATGCCTTCTCTCTCTACGCTAAAAGCGAAAGCTAACTCAGAGTGAAACACAACCAAGATTTCATCTTTACAGGCCCTCTCATCCGTCGGTTGGAGGTGCGTGACGCGTGTACGGTGGTTATAGGCTGACCAGGAAGCTGGTTGCAGCTTGGCCTTCAACAACAGACACATATTATCTTCGCCTTTACCTGAAACTTATGTTGGTAACTCGATTTATGTAGTTGGAGGATTAGCGACGGCGGGGGAACAACGGTATGGGGGAACAACGATGTGCAAAGGAATGGAAGACGGTAGTTAAGGAGGAATATAGATGCACGGTGCAGGGCCCCGATTAAAATGGAGGAGGAAGAAGTTGGGTAGAGGTCGACGTCTGGGTAGGGTTTTAAATTAATTTTCCTAAATTAAAGGAACTAGTAACTTAATTATTTAATTACCAAAATTAATTAATAGGTAAGATTACAATTTTACCCCTATCTAGGTTTTTGAAATGATTGGCCCATAATCATTCCTATACCCATACAATACTTAGTTAGAATACTTGAACCTAGCTCTCTCTCTCTTCTCTATCTATATATATATATATATATATATAATATAATATATAATATATATATATATATATATTATATATATATATATATATATATATATATGCTTGTTCTAACGGGAAAGAGGTGAAAACTGATGAATAATAAGAAACTGTGCATGCTTGTCCTAACAGTTTGAGGTGAAAATCTATAATTGATATTTAATGTTCAAACCTAGGCTGATCCTTTAACATCCATAAGTGAAAATATGTATTATTTACAAGAGAAAATGAATATCCTCTTACTTTCCTTCCTACATATCTTTCTACCAATTTAAAATGATAACAAGTGTATTAAAGTATTTTTAAATATTATCCAAATATAACACATGTCATTATTTCATATGGATAGGAAGATAAGTAGGAATAAAAGATAGAAGGATATTTAATTTCTCTATTTACAAAGTCAATTTTTATCATTAAAATGTGTAGGTATTGTTTGTTTTTTAACAGGTAAAATATATGCAGTCTATGAATCACATCTGTAGACACATGCAGTCTGCAGACCACATCTGCAGGAGAAGAGTTAGACCAAACGTCTGCAGTCTATAAGAAGAATATTGTTTGTATCTTTAACATCTGTAGATGTAGACTGGAATATAAATAAAGTGGGGCTTTTAATTTAAAAGGGTTTTTCAACACTAAAATTTAAATAATTATAGTTTTACAACACTGATATATAAGTAGACAACCACAATAACACATATAATTCGAAACGATACATTTGATTGCTCTTATTAAGTAAATAACTCATTATTTAATCTCTCTTTCCTTATAAAATTATAACGCCTGAAACGTTTAATGGTAATGTTTATTTGTATAACTAGCGGAAATGATATCATCTTCTTCAATATATGAATATGATTGAATTTCAGGAAAAAAAAAACACAACATTTGATAATTAAAAAAAAACCACCACATTAATTTGTGTCTATTATAATCATCATATAATTTTTTACATATGCATAACATCATATACTAGACAAACAAAAAGCACAATCTAATATAGAAATCATATTGAAAAAAATCTTAAAAAAATAATTCAACAGTGTCAGAAAAACAGTTTCAGAAAAAAGATGGTTTTAATTTGCACACAATTAATATAGTTATTTTTGCGGTAAATTGACATATAATATATTATGGTTTTGTGATACTTACATACATTATAGGATAAACAGATAGATGTTTAATTCGTGCAATGTCATTAGATAATAGATTTGGTTTTATATTTTATATTTGGATCATAAAACAATAAATAATATATATATATATATATATATATATATATATATATATATATATCAATTAAAATATAGTCGTTCAAAAAATATAAAAAGAAATAAAAGTGAAGCATCCTTAATTATATATATATAAAAGAATTTAATCATTATTAATTGTCTAGAAAATGTCTGCGAGAAATGTTTTTCCACCCATAAAAATTGGTCCATGTCTTTTAGAAAAGAGAACACGCAGATGTTTTAACGTTCGTGGTTTCCTAAAAAAACAGTCTACAAGAACGTACAAACATGCCCACAAACATAAATGCTAAAAAAAAATCATAAAAACAAACACCACCTTGGTCCATATGATTCATAACACACTCAATGTGTTACTATGTTTTGCAAACTATTCATCATAATGGGTTTTGAAATAAGTTCGACATGAATAGCCTAAAAAAAGATTTACCATTTTATTATTTACAAGTTAGATGTCATAATTCAAGTCTAGGCATCACTCTGTTTGTTTGGCACCCACAAGTGAAAATATATATCATGGGACCCCACGATTAGGATGTCTAGAGGTAGCGTGGTGAACTATCGGTTTTTAAGTATTATGTGTTTACTTGGTCAATGAGGATGGGATTGGAAGCAATAAATGTGTGCAAGTAGACTATAAATAATATAGTGAACGTAATTAAGGGGTAGAGGTATGGGCCTTTATTTATGTCGGTAGCTTAGTTTAGAACCCAAAGTTGGATCAATTGGTAGCTTCTATTTTATAGTATTTTTACTCATGTATGACTTGCTTAAGTTGCTCTACATTAAATGATGGTATGGGACTATGGGTGTTTAATATGATATTTTTAAATTTTAAATTTTTGTAGATGAAAAAGTTAATTCTATTTACTGTTTTTAAAAAATAGTTCAAAAATAGTCAAATGTCTAAAATAATCTTGGATTTTGTAGAAGACATCTACAGAATCAAGAAATAGGCGAAGAAATTGCTAAAGGCTGTCTTTTTTGAAAAAGAAAATTGAAGATGTACGAAAATAAAGATTTTACTAGCAAAAAAAATCACATTTTCATGGTAAAATCTTTAAAAACCATTTTTCACAATAAAAAGAGTTTTATATTGTTGTTTTAAGATGTAAAAAGCAAAAAAAAAAAAAAAAAAAAAAGAAAAAAATGATTTGAACTGTGAAATTCTTAATTTCTTAATCTCCTGCCAAAACTTTTATTTACTTTTTTGAATTCTTTTTATGGTAAAAATCTTCAACTACATTTCCAAAAAAGAGTTTTACTAATGTAAAAATTGAGTTTTTTAAGCTATTTTTATACCCAACAAAACTGTAAAAATTTGAAAATATGAGAAAAATATTGTTTGTATACGGAGAAATCTTTTGTGATCCATTTCGCAGGCTCAAAAACAAATTTTTCTTAACTCGTTGACGATTCTTCTTGGCATATTTATTGATTTCTCAGATTCTAATGAATGACTATTTTAGATATTTTACTAATTTTTTTATTATTTTTGGGAAAATAGTAAATGAAATTATACATTATAGGAACACCCATTTAGTCTCTTACGCTGTTAATGTTTTAACTATATTTGAAGTTTTTATTCAATTGACGTTAGTTTGGAAACTGATATATCTCTTAAGGAATAGTTACACGTAATTATTAAATGTTAGTGTATCAAATGTCTTGTAAGCAGAAATAAAATAAAAAAGTCGTAGCAGTATAGCAACATGTTTTTATGGGTTTGGTCAAGGCCAAATAGGTATAAAATAGTATATTTTATTTATTTCTTTTTAGTGGGAAAAATAGCCAGTTATTATATATTTTTTTTTCTTTTCGGTCAATATATTTTAATGTTTACAATAATGAATCTGAACTGCTAAGTTGAAGAAATAACAAAAGCTCATCGCTGTTGTTTCTTCTTTTTATTATTATTACTTTTCTTTGTTGCCCAAAAGGAGACCTTTATAAAAGAAATTTACTTTTTCTATGTAATTTAGTTTTTTTTTTTTTTTTTTTTTTTTTTTGTCTTATACAAGAATGGATACACATGTTTATTATTATTTGTTTGATAACAAGGGCGATCAACTTTGTTAATAGAGAAAATTAAAAAAAAAAAAAAAAAAAAAAAAAAAAAAAAAACTCACACATACAATACTCTGCAAACTATGTGGACCAAAATCGGTTTTGTACCGAACTGTTTTTTTGAATTGTTTAAACCGGTTGCTTCCAAATCAGATCGGATTTAACCATTTTACAGTATAAAAAATATAAACCGGTTAAATTGAATCAATTTTTTCTTATCATGTTTTAGAAAAAACTACAGTTTCAAATTTGATTCAATTATAACCTTTTTGTATCAATGTTTTAGAAAAAAATTAGTCTTTTATACGGTTTCTAAAATCCACTTTTCCCTCGTACAACTAGCTGATTTTGTTTGTATTTCTATCCAAAGATAAGCAAGTGGCCACACAAGAGTTAAAGCTTGTGAAAATAGAAACTATGATGACTTCTTTGAAATGTTTTATTCCAAATCATTCCATCACTAAGTCGCAAAAAGATGATTAACATTAAACACATGATAAGATCTCTGTCTTTTATTTTGTTAAAAAAAATACCCTTTTTTCTTTAATTCATTCTGATCTTTTCATTCAAAGCTATGATCCAAAATCTAACCAAAATTAATAATCACTTTAAGTTTTAGATTAAAGTTGATTATATAAAATTTGTTTTGAATACATTAAGTGGTGGTTAGTGGTTACACTATAAGTTCACACGCAATCATGCATCATTCCTTTTCTTTAAGTAAAGTAAAGGTGACTATGATTAACGACAAAACAAAAAAAAAACAAAAAAAGGTGATTGTGACAACATTGACAACGTAGAGGGGTGTAATTTGAAAATAATCGGAAGACTTCAACGACTTTCCCGGATAAACCGAGTGGCAGAAATACAGAGAGGCTTTCAACGACGATTCCTTTTCCACACTTTTGTGTGTTTTGTTTGTTCATCCAAATAATTGCATTTCACTCGGATTTCTTCTTAATCAAATACCCTTTTCTGGATTCCATTCCACCCATCTTCTCTCCTACTCCCTTCTTTGCTCACAATCGGGAGCTTCATCTTTAGCTCTCGATCGAGCTCACCCCTTTTTGTCCCACCTGTTTCAATGGCGTTTCCCTCTTTCTTATTCTGTTGAATCATATGAAATCGTTGAAGAAACAATCAAACATTCAAACCCATATCATGGAGAGGGCAGCTCAGCAATTGAAACGCGGGATATCCCGTCAATTCTCAACGGGTTCATTGAAACTCAGCGGTAAATTCAGCTTCAAGCGTCAAAGCTCTTTCGATCCACGAACCAATTCCCGTTTCAGCTTGGGTCGGCAATCTTCTCTTGACCCAGTTCGACGTACATCCGCGAATGATGACTTTACCCTCCCTGGAAACCTTGACTCCACCATGCAATTGTTGTTTCTAGCCTGCAAAAACGACGTTCAGGGTGTCAAAGAATTGCTCGACGATGGCGTTGATGTTAATAGTATTGATCTCGATGGTCGCACTGCTTTGCATATTGCTGCTTGTGAAGGGCATGTTGAGGTTGTTCAGCTTCTGTTGAGTCGCAAGGCCAACATTGATGCCCGTGATCGGTGGGGAAGCACGGTATATCCATGATTTCATCACTCAAATCATATTATCATGTTCAAATCATTTCAAATAATAACAATCTGATCAAAACAATCACCATTTTCCCTCTCCATTTTTGTTTTCGATCATCAATTTTGTCCAATTAGTTTGGTCGAAGTTTGAAATTCGAAATCTCTTAGGTTAATTGCTAGACAAATCATGTTCCTCTCTTTCCAGACATATGATATGTCTCTTCCTTCTACTTTCTACCCTAAAACCATAACTTTTTTTCATGATTATTTACTTATTTGTTCAAGAACTTTCCATAATCACAGGCATGTGCTGATGCAAAGTACTATGGAAACGTTGAAACTTACAATATATTGAAGGCCAGAGGAGCCAAAGTTCCGGTATTTTCCATTAAAATTCTTTTATATATTGAAAATTTCTAATGTGAGATCATATAATGAATACATTAAAATTCTGCTAGAAAACTAGAAAGACCCCAATGACTGTTGCAAACCCTAGAGAAGTTCCAGAGTATGAACTCAATCCCCTAGAGCTTCAAATTCGCAAAAGTGATGGCATCTCAAAGGCAAGATTGTGATTCATGCTTCATATAAAGTCTCAAAGTTTATATCTTTTGATTATATTAATAATACTATATGGACATTTTGGTCATTTTGACAGGGAACATATCAAGTTGCTAAATGGAATGGGACAAAAGTTTCAGTGAAGATATTAGACAAAGATAGCTATTCTGACCCTGAAAGCATGTATGTAATTACTATTTACTACTATTTACACATTCTTTTTTTATAATTTTAACAAGATAACTTCATTGTGATTTGACTTTTGTACCCTTTTGGTTTTTATAAATGCAGAAATGCTTTTAAACATGAGTTGACTTTGTTGGAGAAAGTCAGACATCCTAATGTGGTTCAATTTGTTGGAGCTGTTACCCAAAATATACCCATGATGATTGTTTCAGAATATCACCCTAGAGTAAGTCAAAGAAAACAAAATTAATAAATTAGTCAAAGTATCTGATTTTGAAACATTCATATTGATATTGATAAATTGATAATAATATAGAAATGATTGAATTTGGATGAATTTTCAGGGTGATCTTAGAAGCTATCTTCAAAAGAAAGGAAAATTGTCCCCATCAAAAGCTCTTAGATTTGCTCTTGATATTGCAAGGCAAGATTTTGTTTATTTTATTTTTAAGTTCAATTTATGTTAATTAGGAGAAAAAGGGTAAATTGGGAATCTGGGATTATATTATATTAATCAATAACATGTCCAATTGTAAACTTTTAGAAACAATAGCTCAAAAGGAGATGAGAGAATATTTAAATGTTCACAAAGTCCTAAATTGCTTTATTACAAGAAAAAATTGGATCTTTATTATAATAATAGTATTTGTAAATTGTAATCATATTAAAAAAATATTAAATATTATGAAATCATATAACTTGTTATTTGATTGACAGGGGTATGAATTATCTTCATGAATGTAAGCCAGATCCAATTATCCACTGTGATTTAAGGCCAAAGTAAGGCAACTAATATAAGTTGATTAATTATATAAATTTACTTATATAAATTCATATCTTGAGATTTTTTTAATAATTAAAATATTGGTAAGGTGCCAGAAATATTTTGCTGGATAGTGGGGGCCAGTTGAAAGTTGCAGGATTTGGATTAATTCGGTTATCCAAAATTTCACCTGATAAAGCAAGATTATCTCGCCCTGTCACCATTGATAGAACAAGTAAGATTTTGACACGTGTCCCCAAATGGGTATTCAAAAAAGTTTAAATTTTTGGTAGTGTAAATTTTATCTTTTGTGTATTGTAGATTTATATATTGCACCAGAGATTTATAAAGATGAACTATTTGATCGAGGTGCAGATGTGTATTCTTTTGGAATTATTCTATTTGAGGTAATTTTTTTACCAGTTTATGTGACCATGTTTCACTTTTTTTTACCATTTTAAGCCACAATGATTAATTGTTTACTTACAAATCTATGTGACCATGTTTCTCTTTTTAGTTTTTACCAATTTATGCAACAAGATTTCATCTTTTTACTTATTGATGCAACAATGTTATAATATTTTTACCAATTTATGCAACAATGTGTCACTCTTTCACCATTTTATGTGTCAATGTTTAAATTTTTTAGTTTTTACCAATGTATGTGATTATCTTACATTTTTTTACCAACTTATGCTACAATATTTATCTTCTTTATCTGTTTATGCAACAATGTTTCACTTTTTACCAATTTAAGCTACAATGTTTCGCTTTTTTACCGATTTAAACTACAATGTTTCACCTTTTTACCAATTTAAGCTACAATGTTTCACCTTTTTACCAATTTAAGCTACAATGTTTCACCTTTTTACCAATTTAAGCTACAATGTTTTACCTTTTTACCAATTTAAGCTACAATGTTTCACCTTTTTACCAATTTAAGGTACAATGTTTCACCTTTTTACCAATTTAAGCTACAATGTTTCACCTTTTTACCAATTTAAGCTACAATGTTTTACCTTTTTACCGATTTAAACTACAATGTTTCACCTTTTTACCAATTTATGCAAACTGAACATGAATTACACAACGATGTTTCAACTAGTTAAACACGTAACAAGATAAATATTGCATCTTTAGGTCAAAAAGTTGAAAACTTTATTGCATATTTTGTATAAATAATATTCTTATATAGCATCTATCTTAAACTTAGAATTTTATTTTTTGTTTAAAATGGTGTCAGATGATGGAAGGTGCCCAACCATTTCACCCCAAGCCTCCTGAGGAAGCTGTTAAGTTGATGTGTGAAGATCTCAAGAGACCTCCATTTAAAATAAAATCAAAATATTACCCTCCAGATTTAAAAGAGTAAGACCCTCTTTCTTGTTAAGCACTTGATCTGGACCATTTTACCCTTCTGCCCTTCTTTTTTACCTCCAAACTTTTCTTGATTAATGCATTGTGAAATTTGTTATTTGGAATGTAAGGGTAAAATGGTCATTTGGTCTCATTCAGACTGTTTATTGTGTCCAGTATAGAAACATAATTTAATTGTATAAAAAAACCTTCTCACTATTTTAATTTTTTTTATTTTTTGTAGATTGATTGAGGAGTGTTGGTATCCAGAATTGCCTATAAGGCCAAAATTTTCAGAGATAATAATCAGACTTGACAAAATTGTTGGCAACTGTTCAAAACATGGATGGTGGAAAGACGCGTTTAAGCTCCCATGGTATGCTTAATGACCATTTTACCCCTCTGTGTAGAGTTTTTGGAGAGAATTGCAAAAAAAGATTCACCTACTTAATCACAATGTTATAAATTAAGTTAAGTTTGGACACAAGCTTTAAACTGAAACATAGTTGGATAAAAATAAAAATCTTGGAAATGAACGCAACAAGGGCAAAATTGTCTTTTACCTATTTTCCCTTCTTTTTCGTCTTCCTAACTTTTTCACGTTAAAATTGATGAATATTTAAAAAAAATTCAGAATTCAAGGGTAAAAGGGTCATTTAGAGTCTAGAAAGAAACAACAGGCTTTATGTATACAACGTTATTCCATACAGACATCATTACCCATTAAGTCGAAAATAAACATCACCCTAAGAACATTTTTTCATAATAATATATTCTAAAAGTTTTTTTCTCTTATCTTTCTCTTTCTCTCCAAATATCACCATATTGTACTAATAATACGCTTTTAATTTTATATTTTTTTGCAGGAAATAATAGTTATGAAGGGTATGAACATTGAAGATGAACTGAAGTGGTTCAGCTGGTGAAAGACTCCAAAGTGTTTTGATTTTTGAGGTTATTTACTTGGGAAAATGCTAATGGGGGTGCGTAAGCATAATCTTCAGAAGAGTTATAGAAGCTGGAAAATAAAGTGGAATGTGAAAATTACTAATGCTTTATGTTTTCTTGTTTATGTTTTGTGAAAAATGTTTTCGTGTATCTAAAGTTGATATGATCTAATATATAATAGTACAAGTAATGGTAATGTCTTTTCTCTATGGAACACGATTTTTCGAGGGGGTAATATATGGTATATTTGTCTAGATGCAATTTGGGTTAAATGTGTGTTCATGCAACAAGATTGAGTGGGTGTTTGGGAGTGCTTCTCAAATTAGTTTATTAGCTTATTGGCTTTTCAGAAAGCTAATAAGCTAAAAAAAATGTTTGGGATGTTCAAAAGCGCTTTTCAATCGGTTTTTGGATAGGCAAACAAAATCTTAGCTTTTTGATGGCTTTTTAGTTTTTCCTACCACTTTTTACCTCTAAAAAACTAAGTCAAACACTTTTTAAAACCAAATTATTGACTTTTTCGCTTTTCCCACTACAAAAGTTAAACCAAACATTTTTTAAAAACATTTTTTTTTCAAAAAGTCATAAGCTAATAAACACTTTTATCAAAAGCATTTTTGAGATTAAAAAGCACTCCCAAACACACCCTAAGTAGGGATGAGCATAGGCGGGTACCCGCCTCATTTGGCGAGAATCGGAACCAAAAGCGAAACCGACAGTTCTTAAATTTTTGGAACCAGTCTCAGAACCGGTGGTTTCGGTTCCAAGAGCGGGTAACCTGGTTACATCAATTTTATTAACTTTTGTCAATAAAACCGCAATTTAGTTCGGTCCAAATCGAATCAATTCAGATTAAAGACGGACAAAATCGAACCAATATATTCTAAAAAGGTCTAAATAATACACATATATTCATACAAAATACTAATATAAGAACCGGAACCGGAACCGCTTAAGGCGGTTCCAGTTCCAGAACCGTCAGTTCCGAAGCAGTTCCGGTTCCGAAAGCAAGTACCCAATTCTGATGCTCGTCACTAACCTTGAGTCACCATGCGAATTTAATTGTGTGTTGTGGCCATCCAAGCAAAACTTGAAGATTGTAATACCAAATTTGCCTTCAAACATAACATATATCCCAATGTTCCATGTTCTGTGTACAGTATTAAATATGCGGCTTAAAGAATTCGATTACATAAAGAATTCGATTACACAAAAGTTCTTAAATTCCTAATGACTTACAATTGGTGCATTTTTTTTGTCCAAGTCTTTCAAAGGGTTATCTGAAATAGTTCAGTCAACGGATTAAATTACTTGGTATAGTAGCCATGCATCATATCTAAAAAAAATAACTTAGTCATTTCCTCCATCTCAAAATTTATCTCAAATCCATTATCAAAATACCTCAAACCAATCAAACCCACCATACACTTGTATTAACAATCAACCAAATAGAAAAAATCTTCAAAACTAGACACCCCATCACAAGTCCAAATAGTTTTACAGTGTGTACATCGACTATTATTTATACCATAATGTGCACCATGTTGGTGATTTTAGTGTCACACAATCATTTAGTGTAATTGGAATTAACACAAGTGTCGGTGAGGATTTAAAATACAACAAAATACAAGTTAGGTGTTAATTTAAACTATAACAAAATACAAGTTAGGTGTTGTGGAGTGCACACTTATATATAAGGCGGATTTGGTCGTGAACATGACAAAATGTTGGGTAAAGGGTCGCGACCCATTGCATGGACAAAAAGGCAACGTCCTTTGTTGGTTCTAAGGGGACACATATTTAGCGGTGGCCCTTCTAACCGACACATGGTCGAAGGGCATCTCCCCGAAGCCTCTAAAGAATTTTGGACCTAGAATGTAGTGGAAAAACATGATCACACTATTGTTTTGACAAAGACACATGTAAATTTTAGGTTTACTCGCAGGTAGCTCTAACTGACAACCTAAGTTATCCCGACAACCCAAGATGCCAGTTGGTCAATTCAACTAGTCAACTTAAGTATGAATGCTTTTTTAGAAAACTATTTTCAACTGCTGAAACCACAACTTTCTTTGATCTTATCCGAAATTTGGATTGATAAGTACATGTAGTCATATTAACCTAATTTTGGTAATCTTTTAAGATTTTGAACAATCATGTACTCTCAGGTGACATGTTTATGATTTGTGCCTAAAACTCAAAGTGTCCTAAAGGATTATCCCACATTGAATTTCAAGAAACTTATGCATAATGTAGATATATTAATATGGAAGTAAACTACACGGTCATTAAGAAATATTGATTTTGTGATTAACAAATACCCCATGTGTAACGACCCAAATTTCTATACATCTAATCTATGGGAATTGTTAGAGTTTTATCTACAATGCGGAATTCTAAACAAATTAAAACCTTTACTTCCCAGGATAAATCACGAGTTTACAATAAAAAAACTACGTACAAATTAGAACAACAAGGAAAATACATAATAGCATTTTACTATCTAAGTCGTCCTTGTGATCCTCTCTTCTGTTTTGGTACCATGGCTGCTACAACCTGAACCTGCAAAACATAAAATCTACGCAGTATCAAACACAATGTATCTGGTGAGTTATTCTTTTGTCCTTTCTTATCTTTCATCTTTTTTAATCTTTCTCATACTTTGACATCTAACTTTTTCTCTAATAGCATACACTGCTATTCATTCTTCTATATCTCTTATTCTTTTTCTCATCTCATATATCTTTTTCTCTGTCATCTACTATGGTTATCATACTCTTCTCTTATCTTTCTCTTACGCTTTCTTAGCCTCTTCTCGGGCTCTTCTCATACTCTGTTCATACTCTATCTTTGTATCTTCTATACTCTATGCTCCATCTATTATCATGCCTTCACATGCTCTGCTTACTCTTCGTCTCTATCCATTCTCAACTCTAATTCCTCATCATTCTTTTATCATCTAGACCCAACGGTCACATCTCATACTCTAGTCTCATCTATAATATAAGGGAATCAACATCCCACTTTCATTGTCGGGTGAACTCATCTGGACTTACTATTATCTCTTATGATCCCTTATGGATCCTTAATCTTTCCTTTTACTCTTGAATCCTTCACAAATTCCTTCTCTTCACCCCTCATGGGTTACATCTAAGTTCTTACCAAGAACTCTCTTATCTTGTTCCTATCAAGGAACCTTTTCTTTATCTTCTTTAACCATACCAATCTGGATTCTCGCAAGAATCATCTATCTACATCCCAAAAGGGATCCTCTATTTATGTTCCTTAAGGAACCATCATCTTATTCCCACAGGAACCATAGTCTTGTCTCTGTAGGAACCATACTCTTATTCCCTAATGAATCATACTCTTTGTTCTCGTAGGAACCTTCTATCCCTCGTTCCCGAAGGAACTATACTCTTGTTCCCGTAGGAACCTCTACTCTATTACCGAAGGAATCTCTATCTCTTGTCCCTGAAGGAACCTTACTCTTGTCCCTGAAGGAACCTTCTACCTCTTTCTCTATCCTTGTTGTGTGACTCATCACATAACATTAGTCCCATGAACATCTTGTTGGATTAAGGTGTCTAAGGTCCTAACTAAATTGGTATAATGTTGATGAATAAAAGTAAAGTCCTTTTTGGGTTGCCCTCATAACCAAGAAATTATTTAGTTTGATTATAGGAGAGAGATAAATGATTTATTAATATATTATATGACTAATATATTAATTAGACATAGTTATAATTAATTTAGAATTAATTAGAATTAATTTGGAATTAATTCTGGGTTAATTATAATTAATGAAAAGTTGAAGGACTATAGCTATAATTGTTCAAAAGTTGAGCAGAGGATATGTTCCAGAACTTTCCTCTGTTGGACGGTTTGGAGGCTCCTCTTGGAGCCTTCTGGAAGCCTTCATGCAGATAATCAAGGAACTAGATAAGTGCCTTATTTAAAATAATATTATTTTATGTTCAAATTAGTGTTTGTAGGTGTTTCCTAATCAGCTATAACTACGGTCTTATACTTGGGAATTTTCGGCCATGCTATTCCTCATACCAGATCCGAAAATATGCCCCCTCTCCCCCTTTCTCCTAATCTTTCTAGGGTTCTTGTGTTATGAGTGTGAACCATTAGAGGCTTGCACACAATTGAAGCTAGTTTTCAAGAGACTATTGGATTGATCTAGTTGGATCAAAGGGTTTGTTTGCAATAACAAATCAAAGGTAACATATTCTTTTGTGAATTTTGATTTCCATTAGGGTTTAGAAGTTTTATTGTTCAATAGTATGTTGCTTCAATAGTGTTATGACATAGATCAAGTTAGGTTGCATGTACCCTTAAGAGTATAAGGTATTTTCCGCATTATTACATGTAAAAACCATCAGTGGTATCAGAGCATTAGGTTGTCTGATAACTGAATGTGCATGAGTTGAACTTGAACAATTGAAGGATTGAAAAATCGTCATTTTGTCGCATCGCCACGACGTGGGGCTCTTCTGCCACGTCGTGGCAAATATATGATCCATATTTTTTTCTCCTGCCACGTCGTGGAGATTATCTGCCACGTCGTGGGGACCTCCTGTTCAACGAAATTTTATGGATAATTAAGATTTTTTATTAGGATAATTACATTAATAAATATTGTTTTAGTTGGATAAAAATCTGAATGTTTAACTTGGTAATATGATCTCCTAATATCTTGAATCTTTGAATTATCCTCATGATTTAATTAAATTAAATTATTTGATTAACTAAAAAGATTAATTTTGAAATCATTAATGTAATTTCTGAACATTATTTTAAACGTTTAAAATACACCCTTATACTTATATATTAAAAGTTTAATACTATATGTATAACATGAGTCAGCTGAATCGTTAGTATGCCTCATTCATGATGTCATGCTATAAAGAGGGTATAAAGAAACGACCTATAAAATGACCGTTGAATGGGTGTCCTTTTCATCCACCGCTCTCCTGCATGGTCAAGGGTCGTTAGAAGAACGGGTTCAATAGGACATAATCTCATTAAAAGTATAACGCTATAAAGTAATAGAACCTTTTATAAATATCCTACTCTATTTACATTAAGAAAAAAATGTGAAAGTGTATGCTAATCCATGAAAACGCACATCAATGAAACATCCCAAAAATACAGACCAAAAATTTTGTTTTAAAATCATTAATAAAACCATGAATCTCAACCATCATATAAAACCATAAACCAT